TATTGCGTTGTTGAGATAAACGTTCATAAAGGTGCGCAAACTTGGTGGGGTGGCCAACTCGCTTGCCTGGCCAACTCGCTTATCCAGCACGTTAAGTGTAATGAGTTTAGTATGACGCATGTCGCCATGGCCGTACCTACATATGATTATTTTTGCAAGCCCTAGACAATCAGCAGATAGTAACCATCTCGAATCCAAGCCTAGACTCAGGAGTAATCGGTACCAAATCTTATGGCCCATTTAACCTCCTCTAGCCCCAGCCTTGCTGTATATTCCTTGACATCGTCATCACTATGCCCCCAAGATGCCTTCATCCAATCAGGCGCCTGGTTCTCTTTGACAACAATCCGGACAAACTCCATGCCCGGCGTGCGGTCCATGATTTGCAGTCGCACTTGCGTAATTATGTGCTGCTTGATACATCGAGTCCAAGTCGCATTGGGGTTGTGAATGAATTTTGATACAGCGCTTCGGTCTTCTGCAGTGACTCTGGGATGTCCTGAGACAAGATCAAACGTGTACATGGGAAAGCGCAGGTGAAACTTGATTGCTGGGAGTATGTCTATACCGACCAGTGAGTCTATATTCACCCAAATTCTCAAAGTACCTCCGGGATGGTGGTAGCGTGCCACGCGTTGTCTGATTTCATCGCTCGCTTGGTTTGCCCGGAGCGGAGGAGGGAAAAACGATTTGAAGTATCCATCTAAGGCAAACAGAGGGAAGCGATGTGTCGACAACCAGAGTGGGCGGAGCTCCATTCTGATAAGTGTACAGGTTTGTGTCAGGCCGATGAAGGGGAGAGGTTTGTGAGGAGGTCGCCGGACTTCATAGTCGGGCCGTAAGCCCCTGCGCCGAGATGTCGTGGACTTTGGATATGTGTTTGGGAATGTCCGCGTGCTTATTTCTATGACAACTTCGTATATGCGATTCCGAATTTCTGGGTGTTGTTAGTATTTTTGAGGCTGAATAAATCACGTGCTACTTACCCCCTGGCAGATCCAAGAATCTGAAGATCTGGCTTGTATCCATAGCCTGCGCTTGCTCTGATATTTCAGTCTCTACTGCGGCTTGCCCTGTACAATATGAGATAGGCGTGTTGGCTTTTGGGCGCTTGTTGGGATACTTTTCTATGACTTCTTGTGCAGAGCGTTTCTTGTTTGCTGTTGCAATCGATTTCTTGAACCCTTTGCGGGGCCTTTGACCCACAAATTAGCAGTTGCAATATAATACGACTGACTAGATACTCTGATTCAACTCACATTTCGATGACAAAAAACCAACGGTTGTTGTAGAGAAGTGCGTGGAGGTGGGTCAAAGGAGTGAGGTTGGATGTTGGCGCATGGGTGCGTCGGTTGAGTGCTAGCGTTGGACCCTGACGACAAAAGCGGTGGAGAGACGATATCCCCTACAGGCCTAAGTGGATCGTACCTATTGGCTAAGCAAGTATCATGTTTTAGTTGTGCAGCTCCCATTGGTTGGGCAACACGAAGTCTTGGAAGTTTGAAAGCACCCAAACCACCAAAACTACCACACTGTTCGAAAATACGAGAACACAATAGGAGTACATTTCCCTACTAACGATGGTATTTTTCAGAGCGAAAAACAGCTTACCATACGCTATTTTGGACATGGAGAGTTGTTCGTACGAGCAAAGGCGCTAACTCGGGAAGATAATGCCTAATGAGGCCAGCAAACGCAAGATCATTGGATGAACGGCAGTCAAACACCACTCCAGGAACCAATTCTTGGCCAGGTAATTTGTTCAGATAATATTCATAAACATTGGACGCTGTTGCTATTCACTTCAAGTCACTGTAATATCCCCCGGCATCTTAACCAGCCAGTTCTCCCAAAACCTGAACCCGTCAATTCCCTGCTCTCGACAGAGTGCACCCGCTTCCTCGGCCATTTCTAGCTCTTCTGTCGCGACACCAACACTCCAGCCAAATCTTTCAGCTGTCTCTTGCGCTGTTACGCCCCTACCAAATGTCTCCCAATCCCATGTGACCTCCATGCTGGGAGGTTCTTGGTGAAGAGTCTTGAACCAAGCCAAAAGACTGGCAATAGTTTTCTCGTCAGTGCGATCACGACCTTGCACGACTAGAAGACCACTCTTGAATTGCCTTAGGCGTACTGGCAATTTCAACGTATCCCACATGCGCGCTGCCTTCTCAAAATCTGAGGGGCTAACAAGCTCCACACCGCCCCTTGCACGATTGAAGACGGCCCAAAGATCCACAAGCGTCATGATGCCACCTTCTTTTCGCAGGATACCATGCGTGTCATCGGTGAGCCACTCGGCCAGGTTTCTCGAAAGCTCAGACACATACAGGGACTCAGAACCTGACCCGGACCCAAGCATGTCCTTTGTCGTAACGAGACCCAGTGCAGACGCCGACTGAGATGCTAATGCGTTTGCCTCAGAGCTGCTATTAGTACCCAAGTTGGCCTGTGATGCAAATTGCTCTGCAAGAGCGATAATCTCTTTTGCTGATGTCATCAAAGCCTCAAGGTCCTCAAAGGCGCTGCCTATCATGGCCTCGTTGTTCTGTCTCTGCTCTAGTCCGCGTCGCTCCAAACCCGCAATACCAACAACTCGGGGTCGTTCAGATTCTACAGAAGAAGCGTCAGATTGTACAGTGTAGCCGTCGTCAGCTATAATAGAGGCTAGCCGTGGCTTCGGAATTGGCGGGGCACTTTGAAGGAGCCATTTGCGCTGTACTAATGCATTCTTCAGGCGTTCATAAAATATAGGCCCCCCACCAGCACGGAAAGACAGCTTGATGCATTCAATGGTATCGGATTGTAATGGTGACGAGAGTGTTGGGCCTGGAGAATGGGACCTGGTGGGCTCCTGAAGCATGTCAAAGCGCTTGTCTACGGCCGTTGTGAGGGATGCACCGCAAATCTCGCAATTGAGGAGAGAAGGGTGGTTCTGGTAGGTGCAACGAGGACATGCCGATGGCGATGTTGTGGAAGCCGAAGGAGGAGGAGGAGTTCCATTCTTCACATCTTTCGGAGGCGGGCCTGGGGCTGGTCGATTCGACATGGCCGCTATGGCTGCTTTGACGACATGTACAGTCGGCGGCTTTATTCCGCAAGCCAGACATGGCGGTATGGGTGTGCGAGATGCGAGAGCGGGGTCGAAGTTGGAAGGCACGGGGTTGGAGAAGGAACATATCGGGCACACCCATGTTGCGCTCGCTGGAGGTGGAGGCGCGGGGCTGCTGTGCCGCGGCGGAGTAGAAGAGGACGAGGCGGTTGGCGTGGGAGCCAAAGGAGCACCTCGCGACAGCTGCTTCAAGGGCTTCGGGTAGAGAGTTACCTTGGGTGACGACTTAAGAAAGCCAGCCTGTATTGTTGTTAGTCATGGTGCCCATGGATCAAGCCATATCCAGCATACATAGAACTCTGGTTTCTCGACATCTTTCAGGAAGATGGCGACGGAGTTCTTGCGCGGCTCATTGTGGTCGACATAGCAGACGCGGTGTGAGGTCAGATACGACTGCCCGTTTTGATACTCGGGTATTTTGAACTTCCTGTTCGCATGTTAGCAGCGGATGAGTGCCATCTGCGGACACGCGTACCCCTCGTAAAGCCCTACGGCATCTTGGACAAAAAGCAGCGTCTCCTCCGGCAGGAGCGACGGGCGCAGTGCGGTGGTGAGGTCGAGCTGGTGCAGGAACATTCAGACCATTTGTAAGTGAGCGTATGCAAAATACGGTATCGGGCGTCGTTTGACCTAATGCCCATTTCCCCAGTCCGGCACGTCGTCATATCCCCGACGCTAAGCTCATCACAGTTAGCACCATCTCAGCGGCCGCCAAGCAACAACACCGTGCAAATCACTGTCGTCGGGTCGTCGCCTCGCCTCACCCTCATCCACCCACGCCCACCTCATTTCCACACCCACATACTACATCTCTGCCGCTGTGCACCACATTGATCCATCTTCTCTAACTCCACTGTGCACATACTCACTCTGCAGCCTTCTTTTTTGTCGCCCCTGTTTCCCTTGCTCCCCTGTTCCATGTCCCTGCCCTCTGCCACTGTTGCGTGGGCGCGACCGATGCAGTCACCCGCCTACAACACCGTCACCCCTCGAACCACACTCCAGCCTGCCGCTCCACCCGCGTCTGTTAGTCTTCACACTCCTCTGGCGACTTGTGCCTCCGCTCACACACGCCTACAGTCTGCCATGGCTCCTGAGCAGCCCAAGAAGAAAGTCGAGTGGCCGCCTGCCGTACGCGAGTACGTCCGACGTGCTTTCGACCCCGCCAACGCGATTCCGGGCATCTCGCAAGCAGATATGCAGGCGAGACTCAAGGAGACCATCGGCTACTTCGCTGAGCGCAACTCACATGACAACGTACATTGGCCTACCTTTCCCCTGCCTCAGGAGCTTCTCCTCGAGGAACGGAGGGCAGCCGCGCTCAACGCATCTGCCAATGGCTTCACGAACGGCATGCAACCTACATACGTAAATGGCATTGTCGACCACACTAACCAGAACACACTCCTTTCCAAAAAGCGCAATGCTCACGACGCTGAAGAACTACCAGCCGAACAAGCGCAAGCCAGCGTCCCACCGTGGCGCAAAACTAACCTAGCATCTCGAATGACCTATGCCGATGGACACAGCGAAAAGCGCCAAAAGAAGAACGCATTTACGGACGCCGCAAGTAAGTTAGACCAGACCGAGCTTGACAAGCGACGACAACGCTTTCAGCTCGGCAACAACGGTCCGAAATCGACATCACCCTGGGGCTCATCACGCAAAGACGAAGATGAGATGCCTACCGGACCTGTAGTTGGAACCAACGAGAACCTTGAGAAAAGCTATTTCCGTTTGACTGCACCACCGAAAGCTGAAACCGTGCGCCCCCTGCATGTGCTCAAGAAGACGTTGGCCATGCTTGTGGAGAAATGGAAAGCAGAAAAGAACTACAACTACATTTGTAACCAGTTCAAGTCACTGCGCCAGGATCTGACTGTTCAACATATCAAGAATGCCTTTACAGTCAAGGTGTACGAGATCCATGCGCGGATCTCATTAGAAAAGGGGGATTTGGGTGAGTATAATCAGTGCCAGACGCAGCTCAAGGCACTGTATGCGCAGAATCTGGGGGGCAACCCAGCTGAGTTCAAGGCGTACCGCATTCTTTATTTTGTGTATACGTGCAATAAGACCGACATGAACGACATGTTGGCAGAATTAACCCTCGCAGACAAAACACACCCATGGATCAAGCATGCACTTGACGTCCGATCATCACTTGCCCTTGGCAACTACCACAAGTTCTTCCGACTTTACCTCGAAGCCCAGAACATGGGCGCTTACCTCATGGACATGTTTGTCGAGCGTGAGCGCCTCAATGCTCTAGCTAACATTTCTCGCGGGTACGTTTGGTGGTTGTACTTTAGGTTTGGGGTGATTGTTTACTGACAGGGTACGCAGATACGTAAATGTTTCTCTTCGTTTCCTGACTGATGAGCTTGGTTTCGACAATGATGCATCTTGCCGTGAATTTCTCGAAACGCACGGTGCACAAAACACTATTGAAGACAAGGGCGATCGCCAGTATCGGGTCAGGATCCGCGAAGTCGCATCGCAAATCGAGAGTCTCCGTGCGGCGGCATTCAGCAAAGTAGACATCAAAGGACAAATATGAATCGACTGGAGCGCAAGCGGTGCTGGCCGTTGTCAGCTGCACCCTTTAGATTACGAATTCCCCCCGATTGCTCTATATCCGTTACTCCTACTACTAATTTGTATACTTATGGTTGTTTGCTCATGCCTGGCGCCATGTGTGTCGTGGGGATTGCAGTGGCGGTAGCAAAGGCGCCACCTGAAGCGGCGAGTTTTGGTGTTATTTGGGTGGATGGTGACTATCTATGTGTAGTCGGGACGCGGGAGACCCGTTCCATGCGCTAGATGCAAGGAAGTTTCTAGATGCTTTCTTTCTGTTACGGCCAAAGTTTCAGACAGGCTCCTGACTAGCCATGTTTTCTTAGTTGGGAAACGGGATACGTCATTAGCGCCAATGAAAAACGTGGAATCGGGAATAAGATTGCGGGAAGAGAGGGGAAGAGGGGACGAGGGAGCGAGGGTGTTGCTGACTGCAGGACTGCTCGAAGCGTTTGTCTCAGCGGTATCCAGGTTGATGCGGCAGGTTGCAGTGGGTGGAGGCCGACGGGAGGATGGAGGACAGCTTCAGACTGTACCGGGTGATCGACAGCCACTGCATGGGGATTGCAGGCCCAGGCACAGGCACAGGCAGCGTGTGGAATTGGCAGGGTTGTGAGCATTTGAGTTTGCTGTGGCTTGGAGAGGTTTTCTGTGGGACGAGAAGTTGCAGGCGCTGGGGCTTGGCCAATGAGGAGGCTCGAAGCATGTTTTGGCCTTTGATTCGGCCAGGCACGGGTGTCGAGTGGTTGACGCTAGCTGCAGGCTCTTCTTGCAAAAAAAGGGCAAAGACAGTGTGCTTGGTAGACAGCAGACAGTAATGCATTGGTTGATGACAAGCGTGTTTGGTATGCGGGCACGAGGGTGTGGCGATGCTATAGGGCGTTATGGGGACGTTGATCAAAAGTACCGAATGGGGGGGGGGGTGTGGGTTCGCATGGGCACAATGACATGTTCATGCAACGCCGCAAGAAGAAGCAAGGGAGGCCTACCAACGCCAGCGCGCCGGGGCTATGATTGGGCGTTTTGTGGACCTGCAGCCCGGCAGCCCGACGTTTGGCAGACAGAGCATGGCGTAGGCCCTGGAATCCCCTGGGGCCGCAGCCAGCCATAGTCGGCCACGGCCAGCCATAGCCTGCCATAGTCTGCCCATAGTCCACCCATACACAGCCATGCTACACAGCCATGCCAGGTCACATGGCGTGCTGGCCGACTGCCGCCCTGGCTCCGTGTCGTCAGTGGCCACCAGCAGCGCAAATATACTACACACCTACTACGTATCTAGTATGTACGTGCGTACAGACAGGGCCCCGTCCACCCATCCAATCCAATCCACATGGACGAGCAGGAAAAAACTAAAAGAAGGCAACCCTCGAGGCCCAGAGAGCCGCCTGCCAAGTCTCAGGTGGTGCAGGGCTGGGATCCCTTCGCCGTGAAAGCACCCACTCATTCCCTAAACTTTTGGCTACCCGCGCATCCTCTTGTCTGTACGTACGTACTTGTACCTGACGACAATCACCGTGCACCTGCCCCAGACGTTTTCCCTTTACCCTTTGTCTTTTGCTCGTCGTCACAGCCTTGGACTGCACGACTCGCACTGTCCCTTCACCCGCCGCCCACTCGCCCCCGCACACGCCGCATCCCCGGTCGACAGTCATACACTCGTAGCCAGTCGGAGCCCCAAAGTTCCTGACACCTCCTGACTGCTCCTCACGGCACAACGCTTCCGCGTCTTCTGCGCATCCTCTCCTCCTCGTCCGCACCCCAAGATGAAGGTGAGTTGCTCTGTCTTTTTTGCTTTTGCCGCCACCACAGGTCCCCGCGCCTGCACCACCTGCACCGGCGTCTGCACCGGCGCTGGGGGCATTGGCCGAGTCAAGGCGCGCATACATGCTAACGGTATTCTCTAGTTCCGCAGGAGTGTAAAGAGCGAAAAGGACACCCGCCCGCACCACATCTCGATTCCACCAAAGGATGCCATAGCCATTGTGCCGCCCAAGAAGGTACGTACTACCACCAAGCACATTGCACACACGCCGCCGCCGCCAGAGGTGACTGCCCATTGCCTCGACACTCACTCGCTGTTGCCTGTGCGGGTGCCATGATCGAGGCCAACGCGGCCCTCTTGGGCTGCAGTCGTTGCGCGCAGGACCATTATCCACCGCCAGCCCTGCGCCCAAGACGCTCAAGCCGCTCGATGTTCGCCATTGCTCCAGGCGCTTTGTCCTGGTACCCGCTTCCCGATAGGGCAGATGAGCGCGAAGCTAACGGCGATCTCATTTCAGGTCATAAAAGCCCTCTACGATTACACGCCCACAGATACCAGCCCAAACTCTGTCTACCTTGCCTTTTCCCAGGGCGACTTTCTGCACGTTGTCGGGCGTGAGGACGACAGCGACTGGTACGAAGCCTGCAACCCGCTGCACGGCACCCGCGGCCTCGTTCCCGTCTCATACTTTGAGGGCGTAGGCAAGACAGTGCGCGACAGTGCTGGCGCCCCCCCAGTACCTCGCGCCACAACACAACAACCGCACGATTCCGGCTACCAAGAGCGCATCACAAGCCCGCAACCCTCAACCCAGGACATTATGACGCAACAGATGCGCATGTCGCGCTCGGGAAAGACTGGCGCCATGGTCTATGGCGTCGTTATCTACGACTTCCACGCAGAGCGGCCCGACGAGCTCGAGGCCAAAGAAGGCGAGGCCATCATTGTCATCGCCCAGTCCAACCCCGAGTGGTTTGTCGCAAAGCCCATTACCCGACTCGGCGGCCCCGGCCTGATACCCGTCTCCTTTATCGAGATCCGCGACATGACTACTGGACAAGTAGTCACCGACACGCAAGCCGCCGTGACTGCTGCTGGCGTGCCCAAGGTCGAGGAGTGGAAGAAGATGGCTGCAGACTACAAGAACGGTAGCATTCCTCTCGGCAAGCTGGAAACAAACTCGGGCCAGTCGCTGCAACAAGGCATGGAGCGTTTGAGCGTGCGCAGCCAAAATGGCGGCCACCAAAAGACCGGTTCGGTAGGTGGTGTGCACTCACCTTTCGTACGCGATACTGACCCTGTGCAGATCTCCCACTCGCGCAACGGTTCCATGGCGCAGGCTCGAAATCCGCACCGCACGTCCGACAACTTGCTCGCACCTATCAAGGCATGTGTGCCACGTTACTGCTTTGCTGACGATATCTTCTGGTTCATCATTGAGTGCCAGATGGAAGACGGCCGTCACTGGGAGTTGCAGCGTCTATACCAGGATTTCTACGATCTTCAGATACAACTTATTGCCTCCTACCCCGTCGAGGCTGGTACGAGTGGCTCGGGAGAACGAACACTGCCATTTATGCCAGGCCCGGTAACCTACGTCACCGATAATATTTCCAACGGGCGCCGTGCCAACCTTGACGAGTACATCAAGAACCTGCTCAAACTGGGCCCGCACATTACCCAAGGACACCTTGTCAAGGGTTTCTTTGCCCCACGACAAGGCGACTACGAAATCGACCCCGATGTTGTGGCTGCTGAAGAATACCGTTTGTCCCAGCAGTCACATCACTCGTCAACCCCTTCACATGGAGGAGCCAGCAGGCAATCGTCTGCCGACCAACTTCAAGCTACGACCCCAGTGACTCCTTTCTCGACTGGCTCAACCTATGCCTCGCACCAACGCGGTCCATCGACAGCCTCGCAAGCATACTCAACGAGCCTCAACCCACCGCCTATGAACCACTCACACTCGTCTGTCTCGACCGCCACCGGCACCGGTACGTCGGCGCTCAAGATCAAAGTATGGTTCGAGGAAGACAACTGTGTCGTCATTCGCATGCCCATATCGCTCAAGTTTGTTGATCTCTACAACAAGCTTGTTGAGAGGAGGAAGCTGGAGCGGCCTGGCGAGGAAGAGGAGGAGCTGATTGTCGAGTACAAGGACGAGCAAGAAAATTACTTTTACCCGATTGAGAACGACGAGGACCTGCAGATCGCGGTGGAGCGTAATCCCAAGCTAACACTTAGTGTTACAACGAGGCGGTAATGGTGGAGTAAATGGTAAGACTTGGCGTTTCTTCTTCTTCTTCTTCTTCTTCTAATTCCCCTAGTTTTTATTTCCTTTCTTGTATGGTAGCCCGTGCCATTGTGCAGTGGCTACCTTGGTCCGGCTACCTTGATCCCTGTCTTTTGCTTTGTTTTTTTTCTCCTTTGTTCTTGCTGCTTTCGGAATTGCATAAGGGTCCATAGCTCTCGGTTGCGAACGAACAGGTGTTTGTGGAGTCTGTGGGGCATTAAGTGCATGACGGCAAGCGGGTTCCTTTCTTTTCGGCCAGTCTTTTTGGTTTGGTCTGCAACTATTTCATCGACACAGAGAGGAGGTGTTGAGGCTAGATTATATGAGGGTGGGCTTTGGATTGAGCAACATGTGGTGGATGAGCAATGATGGGGAGGCGATGAATGATAAAAATGGGTTATCTATCCATTAGGTGTATTTGAAAAATTTCACTCCGCTCTAGTACTACATGTGTGGTGATGATGTCTTGTCTGAGAAGTGGGGAGCGATGCACGTGGTCGAGTGCTGTAGTCCAAAGATGGGTGTGGGGTGCCGTTCACATGCCTCAGCCGATACTAGCCATGAGTTCCGAGCTTGCGGTTTGATAGAGAATCGAATTGCTGCCGGTTGCGACATGGCTGGCCAATGGCTGTGCAAAGAGGCCGACTCGGGAGGCTCTGCTCCGACGTCGGTGTTTAGAGTCCGGGGCGGATTCAGTGTTGGGCACCGCTAGACCCAGACATGTTCGTCAGTGGCTGCTCTTTCAAATCCCGCAACCTATTCACACCTCTCTCTCTCTCTCCTGCAGCTCTCACAGTCTGTGAGATTCTGCCTGCTCCCCCTGCGCCATACAGCCGCCTGTTACGAGGCCTCACGAGCGAAGACCCACGACCGGATCGTCTACCAGGGCCTTCACATGCAGCACAGAAAGAGAGAGTTTGCCAACAACTGGGGGAAGCTGCAATGGGGGAGGAACAAGCCAGCGGTGTGAAGACACCTGTCGCTACGGAGACTATATCCCAAGCCACCATACCAAAAGTCGCAAGCCCTTCGATTGCGATTCCTAGACCAAAACTCGCAGTGCCGAGTATGCGCACGCCGACGACGACGAAGACGCCCACAGACACGCCGCGCGAATGGAACACGGCCAAACTGGGTATGCGCGTGGGCGCAGACGCCCTCTCAGCTGGCGCAGCAGGCATCTTGGTCGCTCCCATCATCACCATGATAGATAAAGGCATCATCGAGAACGCCAGCGGCAGAAACACACTGGGCGACAGCCTCAAACAAAGCCTCACGCAACTCGTCTCAAAACCGCACCGCTTCCTCTCCAGCAAACCTTTCGCCCTAATCTTCAGCCTCTACTTCGGCACCTACCTGACCGCCAACACAATCGACACCGCATCCGCAACGCTCAAGCTCACTCAGCCCCTGCAGCAGCAAACAAGCGGCACCAGCAAATTCGTCGCTACCAGCTCCGCCAACCTAGCACTTTGTCTATATAAAGACAACCAATTCACCCGCCTCTTCGCAGCCCCAGGATCCTCCCCCCGCCCCGTACCCCTCCCCACCTTCGCCTTGTTCACCGTCCGCGACTGCCTCACCATCTTCGCCAGTTTCAACCTTCCCCCGCTCCTCGCGCCCGCACTCGAAGAGCGTATGAGCGCCCAGCTAAATAGCTACGTGGGTGCGCTTAGCATAGCCCAGTTTGTTACCCCCGCTGCCGTGCAGCTGGTTAGCACGCCCTTGCACTTGCTTGGCCTGGACTTGTACAATAGGCCTGGTGTGCATGTTGGAGGCCGCGATGGCAGGGCTGCACGCGTCTTGAGGGATTGGGGGAAGAGTGCTGCGGCGAGGATTTGTAGGATTGTCCCGGCGTTTGGGGTGGGTGGGGTGGTGAATACGAAGGTTAGGAGGGGGTTGATGGGGAGGTTAGA